GCCCCACCTTTTGCATGCTCCAGTACCATCGGTGGACGCCGTCCGAGCTTTTAGAAACACGCCCTCAAACTTCCACCAGATGTCTTTCCACCACTTTTTGGGTATTTTGAGGCGTGTATTTAGCATGATTCCGAGTTGTGTACAGGGTGTTTAAGGCGTGTATTTGGATATGTTCTGAAGCATGTGGGTGTAATTTTGGAAGTGTAACATTATAAATGTATACACATTAGATATAATTCGGTATACTTTATTAAAAAAAAGACATATGGCAGCCAGAGCTGAATTGCATATGCATCTTGTATTTAAAATAAAATCGTCTAAAATAATTAGATCCAGTGAATTCTCTGGAAAAAAAATACATTTAAAAAAAAGGGCTTAAAATTTATTTGACAAAAAGTGTCATGATGTGCCTACATATGTAGATAGTTGTAGGCATGTTCATACAAATTGTTATACAATTCCAATTTCTGTTTCACTATCATCATCATTTCAGCGTAAACATAGCCACCCCATAGATATTTGATATATTTTTGTCGAATAAATAAATGAAGGTGCTGCAAGCAGAGCATAACATCTTTGAGCAATGGCGGCTGTTGGATATGGTTTGGCGCAGCGGGAACATTTTGTTTCCCAACCTTGAGGTCTGGGTTTCAATCCCTTGCTGTGCATTTTGCTGTCCTTGAGCAAGGTACTTTATCTGCATTGTTTCTCTCCACCTAGGATTATAAATGGGTACCTGGTGGGGTTGCCTGCTCCTGCGCTGATTACCAGCAGCAACACTTAAAGCATGTGGACCCAATGACCAGGGAAAAGAACTGCACTTTATAACCTCAAGGAACAGGCACTAATAAGCTCTTTTTAACACATCTAATTCTATTTTGGTGCACACATTGATATCTATCGGCACTGACTGCTGTGAGACAACATATCTGTGATGAATTTGTGGAAGATTCTTGCTTGCTTGTGGCAGTGCGAAGGGCGTCCTGATTTCCAGGAGACTCCCGCGACTTCCAGGAGACTTGGGACCCCTGGATTTGAAACTCAAGAAACTAAACACAATGATATGAAAATCTACAAAGATCTGAATAAAGACAAACAAAACTTCTGCTGTTGTTAGAAATAAACTTATAATATCTTTACATAATCATTTAATCATTTTTAACGTTAACTCTACCAAGTTAGTTTAGACATATGAGGCATGTTGTGGCGAAATGGTAAAGTTGTCGCACAGTCCAGTATTGAGTAGATGAGCTATAAAATATGGGAGCTCAAAAAATTGCTAAAAAATCCAAATTTGTTTTTTACTATAGGTCAACAGTTTAATGTCTTATTAATCATGTCTCAAAGTATTAGTTCTGGAAGTGGTTAACAAATTGTTTATTTAATGTTATTTTTCATAGTTCACTATATTAAACAATGTATGCACAAATACCTTTGAAAGGCAATTACTCAAAATCCTGTTTATCTTGACTCTAAGAGTACTGTACTTTCACTTTCCAATAACTTTGGTTTGAAATGTCCAATTTGAATGAATGACCCCTCATTTTAAATATCACATACTCAGGTATTTGAAAATACCAATAACTTGAATTTCAATTTTTGCTACAACTTAGCCATTTTGCCACAACATGCCTCATATATTCTCACAGCAGACAAACACATTTTTCACTTAAAATGTTCAGCATTCCATTGGGATTTGTTTAAAAATAACCCAAGTTTCAGAAAATAATGGTAAATAAATGAGAATATTTGAACAGAAATATTTCAGATAAACATTATATAATTTGTATAATTTAAGAGTTTCTATGATCTCATTATGAGTGAAGTGGGTAAGAGGGAGGGAAGGGAGACCCTAATAAAATCATAACAAGCCTAGCCTCATTGGGTTTTCCAGATTAGACTTTAATGATTGTAAGAAGGCTGCCGCGAGAGCATCGTCCACAACTCTTGCATCACTTGAAAGGGTGAGCGTCATTACTGTTCTTGCCTGGTTCGTATCTGTCAATTGCACCTTTGATGTCCCGACTGCAAGAATACATGCTTGAGGTGGGTTAATAACGGCGCTGAACTCACCAATGCCAAACATGCCCAAGTTTGATATACTAGGTAAAAATCAGAAACAAAGAAATCAAACAATATTGAGATAAAAATATTTTTAAATTCAAATCTAGTTAGTACTTTTATATTAATCTCTAAAATTAATGTTCTTGTTTCTCAAGTTAAATGTACATGCACGGGTGAACACACTATATTTTGCTGCTCACTCTGCAACTCTCTTTTGGTACTACATTATATAAAATTGCTAATCTACTCAGTTTCCCTGCCACACTTCTCACCATCCCTGCCATATTCCTCATCATTACCGCAATCCTCCTCACAACCTCTGCCCTACTCCTCACCATCCCTGGCAGTCCTCACCATCACTGGCAGTCCTCACCATCACTGGCAGTCCTCACCATCACTGGCAGTCCACACCATCTCTGCCCTACTCCCTACCATCCCTCACCATCACTGCCATACTCACCATCCCTGCCATACTCCTCACCATTACTGTTATCCTCACCATCCCTGCTATACTCCTCAACATCACTGCTATCCTCACCATCTCTGCCATACTCCTCACCAATACTGTTGTCCTCACCATCCCTACCATACTCCTCAACATCATTGTTATCCTCACCATCCCTGCCATACTCCTCACCATCACTATTATCCCTGAAATCTCTCATTATCTCTGCCTTACTCTTCAACATCACTGCTATCCTTACCACCCCTGCCATACTCCTCACAATCACTGCCATCCTCACCAACACTGCCATACATTTCATCTTACCTGAATGACCCACCCTGGAATTCATGAAGCTGAAGTTTGCCGTCACGAGCTCTAGATGCCAAGTCCTAAAACACAAAATTATTGAACAACATGAAACTTAAATATTTAAATCTAAATAAGAAATATTGTTTATCAGGTAAGTGATGTCATACTGTGTCATACTCCTCTCTTTGTAAAATTACAGTGATATAAACATGGAATAGAACTGTACATACACTTATATTACTACTTGTATTATTATTTACCCTATGCTATATAGTCATTCATACATATATAAAATACATGAAATAAAACTTTGTATAAAGATATACTGTCTATATGAAAACCCCCTCATTAATTAAATTCTAAACTTAAGAGGATCAAATAAGTTCTAATGAAACACACATAAAACAATACACATTTTACCAAACATTTACTATCCACATATTGTACAGTACAGGTATATATCTTTACCATATTGAAAAGGGATTCAAATTTATGTTTCAAAATAAATGTCTTTCATATCAGTGCCATAACATGGTGCATTGGAAATTGTTTTCATAAAGAATAATAAGCAAGCAAGCATGCATTAGCATGAGATTAAAAATTCTTTATGAGTATTTGTAGAAATCACACTTGCTATCTACAGATTGAAGGTCAGAATGACATAAAGGCACAGGTCCTCTCCACTTGGTTGTATTGTTAGTTAATAGGATCTTTATTGTAGGACTAAATATAACGGTAGGCCTCAGTACACATCCAATGTTTGCTTTCAAAGATTTAGTAAATTTACACACAGTGATTGGTCATATTTATCAGTTAAATACTGTAGAGCAGATGTTAAGATTTTGTTCTTAATAGCATATCTTTTTGTTGTGAGGCTAAATGTAAGGGTGCTCTCTGTGAGTGACGAGACAACCAGCATGGTCCTGGAGCATGGTCCTGAATAAAGCCTCCCTGTTTTATGAAGTTAGATCATTGGTAGTGGGTCAGGACATGGTTATTGATTATGGTTTGGAGATTGTTAAAAAACATAACTGAAAAATATTGATATAATCTAGAGAACTCTAGATAAATGGTTCTAGGTCTTATTCTCAATCATTTCTTGAATGCAGTTTTTAAATTTTATTTTGGGTGGTTGTTATGTACAATATTTGTTGTGTTGCCTACTTTATTAATTAATTAATGTTTTATATCTTGTAATGTTAGAAATAATTCAATTATTATAAATAATTCAATAATAATAACAATAATTTTTATATCTTTATCATATTTTGATGTCATTACTGAAAATTTTAGGTGTTTTAATTAGGTCTAGTAATTTTCTAGTTGATATGTATGTCTTTGTATGTATTTTTAATGTTTTGGCCATTCTTGGTGAATTTTTTATACATATAATATTTTTTATATTCTTCAATTCTTTGTAAATACACTTATTTCAGCCCTTGGCTGCCATTTGCATATTTATATTATACCTGAATAAATAACAAAATAAATAAATAAGACCTTTTGATAGCCTTAATACCACTGCCAGAAGAATAGTCAAATCAATTGATGAAATTTCCAGCATTCGCATATTGACTGCTTTGCTGCACATGGTTTGAAAGTTAAGACAAAAGGTGATCTTGAGACTGTTCTATGCCCTGAGACAAAGTCTAGGGTCATTGTGATGTCTTAGCTCAACCTATCTATAGCAGTAGGCCTACCCTCAATCTAATTTTAGGATGATTTCTTGAGATACATATACTGTAACTGCAGTACTTACTCTCACACTTTCTGATATCTGTTTTAATCCTTTGCTGGCTGCATCCACCACAATCGGGGTAATTAGACCTTGTTCTGTTGTTACGGCAACTGATATGTCGATACTGGGCATGTGTACAACATCTTCACCATTCCATTGGGAGTTGACATCAGGGTGTTCCTGGATTTGACAAGTATTAAAGAAGTACAATAGAGTTAAAATTTAAAAAGTGATAACATGTTCAAAATCTGTAAGCTATCAACAGGCCATCTTGTAGTTTCATGCACATAATGAATAGGTCAATGTTCAATACAAATATAGATAAACAAGAAAGCTATAGAATAGCTAGTACAATCATTGGCTGGTTATTATAAAGAATTATCACCACAGATTTTATATAGATATAAAAACAACAGTTAAAATACACTAGACAAAAACCTTCAAAACATAATACTAGGCTAATTACAAATAGTTAACCTTAAGTGGAAGCCTCTTAAGATATTTGAGGCATGTTGTAGCAAAAACTGAAATTCAAGTTATTGGAATTTACAGATACCTGAGTATGTGATCTTTAAAATGAGGGGACATTCATTGAAATTGGACATTTCAAGCCCAAGTTATTGGAAAAAGAAAGGGAAAGTACAGCACTCTTGGAGTCAAGATTGAATTTGTCTTTTTATCTTCATTTTGGTGAAATAAATATTGAATACTGAAAAAAAGATGAACATGATTTTGAGTATTAAATTACCTTCCCAAGTTATTTGTGCACACATTGTTTAATAGATATAGCTATCAAAATAACGTTAAATAAAAGATTTGTTGACCACTTCCAGAACTAATACTTTGGGACATGATTAATAAGCCATTAAACTGTTGATCTATAATGAAAAACCAATTTGAATTTTTAGGAAGTTTTTAGGCTCCCATATTTTATAGCTCATTTACTCAATACTGGCCTGTGTGACAACTTAACCATTTCAGCACTACATGCCTCATTTTTGAGTGCAAAATAGCAACTGATTACTCATTGTTTGAATTGCTATTAGTAATGTACTAATGTACTATTAGTGTTTGGGGTCACAAATGTCATGTTTATAATGCAAGACAGTCTGTATTCTCTAAAGATAAGAGAGATAATATAACAGTAGTTAGACAAATACCATTCACCTTCAACTTTCTATATTTACATTATCAAAACATTTTGATATAATCCAAAAAAAAAACCAAAACCAACATATTTATTAAAGATAAAAACATCATAAAATGGATAGATAAAATGTACAAAATTGCACAAAATATCTGGAGGCCTTTCATTTTTGAAAGGCAAAATATATTTCAACAAAATGCAATATAAAGGATCAATTATAATTGAGAAGGTTTGACAATTCACTACAACTACCACAGCCTAAATATTTGGCCAAGGAAGAACTTCACTGTTCCTAATCATGAAGTAATTTACAAACCTTGAGAGCCATTGCAGCTGCCTTGATCACAAAGTCGTTGACCGAGAGTTTAGTTTTGTCCTTTGCAAATGATTTCCTTAATTTTAATATTGAATCTACTGTACATTCTATTGTGGAGTATGCATGTGGAACAGTACTCTAAAGAAAAACAAAAATCTATTTTTAACAGGCCACCATATACAAAATAAATGTTAATATAAATCTTATGAATTATTTATTTATGTATTTCAACAATTTTTGTGAGGGTGGTCCATCCATTTGGACTTTCAGTACATAAAAGACACAATAATAAACGATGAAAATTAAACTAGATCTTTAACATTAACAAATAAATTAATTAAAAACAGAAAATATAAAATCAGAAAATTTTAATAAAATAATGATTTAAAGAAAAAATATAAGATAATAATTAACAAAATGAAAATTAAAGTAAAAGTGACACATTTCAATTTAAAGAGACAGAAAAATAATTGAAAAAATTATAAATTAAATCTAGAGAATTAAAGGACACATTAAAGACATTGAAAAATAATTGAAAAAAGTCCAAAGAGTCAATGAATCATTTTAAATATCACATTTAGAAAAAAGTGATAGGTTTATAAAACCCTGCCCAGACACATTTTATTTGACAACATGTAACATACCAAAATATGGTCATGATGACATCACATCATGATCATATATAGGCACATCATCACTTTTTTGGGCATACAACATTTTTTTTGACGAAGAAAATTTGATATTCTCGACAAAGCTTTATATAAATACCCTGTCAATTCATTCCAACTTGTATACTGTGTCCTTGGATTATCTCATTTGAATCAGGGTGTTGGGTTCAAACCCGGGGAGCTCACTTGCATACCAACCAAACAGGGAGGGGGGGGGGGTGCCGCAGCCACTTCAAGACATGAGACACTTGCGCTACCTATTTTACTGAAAATACTTATGGACTTGAACTACCATTTAACAAAATCACAGGACGACAGGAAAAAGTTCACTCAATAGTGCCAGAGAGTGCGCAATATTTACTGGTTCCCGATGGCAAAAAGTGTCCCATCCGGTCGCAATCTCGTGGCTGTACCAAAAGTAGGCTTAGCAAGGGGCTTACCAGCTTAGCACCCAGTCTAGCTTGAAATTCCTGCTAACAACCTACGGAAAATAGTGGCACTTTGACACAGGATAGGCCAGGGACTTTAGCCACTAATTTCACCCTGGTTATTTCCCACACTTGTGCTACAAAATCCTTGCAAGTATACCCCATAAATGCTGCAATTCCCCCATATTTCCCACACTTGTGCTACCAAGTCCTCAAAAATATACCCCGTAAATACAGCACCTCCAGGTATAGAAATATTCAAATCCCGATGGAAAACGTGGCCAAAAAAGTGTCTCCTTAATTATAGGGCTGTCCTGTTAATAGGGGTGTAGCAGGGATGTAGTTATGGTGGGCGGAGGTGGGTGGGGTCACCCAGCCATGAAGTTTTCTACCCAGACTAAAGCAAATTTCATAGCCCTCCACCCACCTTTATCAACCCACTTGCCCATAAAATCTACTCTTGTTATTTAGAGTATACTAGTGTTATCATCCACCCACCTTAAAATGTGTATTACCCATCCTATAAGTTTGTCACAGTTTAGTGGGAGGAGAATTGGAAATTTTAGAGTTTTTGGTCAGAATCTCATAGCCTCGTTTGTAGAGCAACCTAATGCTATTATGGTCTCATTCTAATACAGTACATTTGTACAGACCAAGACAGAAAGGCAAAATTTATCATATAGTACTGTAAATAGAATCTCACCTTTGATTCCGTGAGTCGTCTTGCGATAACCTTTCGCATATTACTCAGTTCGATGTCATCATACAACTGGTTGAAAGCATAAAAAATATAACTTTGAATTAAACATTATTATGATTAAAATATACTGTAATAATGAAAATATGACAAATTCTAAATAATAAATCAATTTTATACTTGGCTATCTTTTATATTAAATGTAAGTAGCATCATTAATTCTTCTGAAATTGTCTAGAAATTAATATCACTAATGGGTCTCAGTGGCAGATTCACCCCCCTAACCTACACTCCCCTCCCCACCACCTAGATTTTTCAAAATTATTTTTTTTAAAAAGAGAGAAAAAAAGAAAATTATATTTAAATTTAAGTCTGAGAATGCCATAATCATAAATTTTCTTTCTTCTTCCCAAACAATGGTGTGCAGGTGTAGTACAGCTATAGCAATGTGATACATAGCATTTGCTTCTCAATTCCAGGTTCCTAGATAAAGTCTTTGCAAAAACAGTTTACAATTGATGTAATTGTGTAGAGCCGGGGTTCTTAAATTTTGTCATGTGGCTTGCAAGCAATTTCAATCTGGTCACAATAGATTTCAGCCGAAAAAGACCACGTAAAAAATAAACAAAAACAACTGGTACATGCTAAATGATGGGATTTATCCTGGAAGATAACACGTTGTGAAGAGAAATAACCATGATCCCAGAGTGCCATTTCTGCCATGAATTTGTCATAAAAAAGGAAATACAATTAAATTCTCATAAAATAAATGAGATTCCCAGCATGAGTTATATGTCTGCACTTAGTACCTATGACTAACAGTACCGGAGGGAGTGAAGCAGGTGAGCATTGCGTATAAATGTTTGTTTACGTATCCGTATTATGATGTGATAATAATGATTCTTTGAATGAGAATCCCAGCATGAGTTGTATGTATGTCTGCACTCAGTACCTATGACTAACAGTACCGGAGGGAGTGAAGCAGGTGAGCATTGTGTATAAATGTTTGTTTACGTATCCGTATTATGACTGTCTCTTATACACATCTAGATGTGTATAAGAGACAGTAATAGGGGTGTAGCAGGGATGTAGTTATGGTGGGCGGAGGTGGGTGGGGTCACCCAGCCATGAAGTTTTCTACCCAGACTAAAGCAAATTTCATAGCCCTCCACCCACCTTTATCAACCCACTTGCCCATAAAATCTACTCTTGTTATTTAGAGTATTTATAATTATTTCTCCAGATATGTCGTTATTCATAGGAGCCTTAGAATAGAACTTGTTTATTTGCCTTTGTTAAGTTGAACTATTTCTATTATAATTATTATTAATAGTAGAAGTACAGTATATATACTTTAAATGATATATTTTTGTTACTACCATTATTAATATTACTGAACTAACCATTCAAAAAACAAATCTTAACACGTTGACTGCCAGACCTTTTTTTTAGGTTCCTTCCTGTGTGCCAGAACAAGAATATATGTACAAACATCCTTTTTTGACGTTAATATCATCAAAATGGTGTGTCTAATAAATTGGCGAGAAAATATTAGGGGACGATTAAACTCGTCACCTGCACTGGGACAGCATTTCTTATTGCCTCTGCCAAGTGCGAGTTTCCTCATCCGCTTTTTGCATGGTTTGGTATATGCCCAGAGGGCACCCCTACTCGTACAATCGATATACTGCCAGCAGAATAATCACAACAAATATACATCCGCTATTTGTACGATATCGTCTAGGTGTATCTTCCCCGAACTACTAGCCGTTAAGTCTGTGGTTCTACAATGCATAACAAAGATGTAATAAACACTAGAATGTTACCCCAATTATGACAGGTATAGTCATCACTAGCACCGTCAGCAAAACCCTCGTCGCTAGCAGCCAACGTGTTAAGTAATGAAATAATTGATACTGAACAATATACATATACCATAGTTTCTCAGTATAAGCCCACATCTGGTATAAGGCCACCTACATTACACACAATTTTACACACAAGCCTTTCCTCATGCAAAAGTCCAGGGTATGGTTTGAATGAATGCTTAGCTGACTTTTTAAAATACTTTCTGGGGAAAAGATTGGCTTTGAATTGGCATGCAGTGCGGAAAAATTGCCTTTTGTTTGGCCATCCCTGAAAATGATTCAGAGGTCCCAAGTCTCCTGGATATGGCTTGAGTCTCCTGGAAATCGGGAAGGCCTCCCGCACTCCTGCAAGCAAGCAAGAACCTCCAGAAAAATAAGCTATCTCCTGCAAATTCATGATATTTGCATGTTTTTACTAATTTTTAATCCTGTATTACCAATTGTCTCCTAGATGTCACAAGTCAATGGGTATTACCATCCACAGCAAAATATATTTAGATGTGTCAAGAAAGCTCATTTAAACAGATCACCCGGATGTGGATCCTTCTAACTTGGGACCCCTGGGGAGTGTTCATGCAGTCACTTTTAAATTTAAAAGTGATTGTGAAAGGAGGATTCTTGTGTATTAAGCCAACCCTCACCCACCCACCAAATTGGCCTAAATTTGTGTTCACAGGGGATAGGCTTATACCAGAGGGACTATGGTATCAAATAAATAAAATCAAACAAATATCTTAACAATTTAGCTACAATGTCTACAAGGATGAAAAGGAAATTACCTTTTTACTCTGAATTTCTGGATCTGAGGTTTGTCTAGTTTCTGGAATTTTTTGGTTCTCACTTGGTGTTACAACCGGGGTTGTTGATTTTTTGGGTTGACTGCTATCTTTAGGTACGGGATCACTTGACATGTATCTTAACACGTCACTGCAAAGCAACAATTCGGATGTCATGAAAGATTTCAGACACATACTAAAATGGGTTATAATAGTTTGCATCAGAGGAGCTTCAATGCGTTTATTCTAAAATTTGTTTACTACACGCGCTATTTTAAACGATAATACGATAGAACGTTCATAAACAACAGTGCAATACAGCTGTACACACTGCTGGCAATGGATACTTGTCATATATTTTTAATGAAGTATACACATATAAACTCACATTAAGTAAGGCATACTTCAATTTTTATAATTTACTTTAATTATTGTTTCATTAATACTGTTGTCTATCATAAACTTATGCTGCTCTTCTCATATAAAGACATCTTGGAAATCACATAAGGTCTTGGATTTGATGTCGAATGTATGAAATGTGATAGGCTCGTCATCTTGACCTCTGATGCTTAGTGCCTAAAATTCATCACAAACACGTAAAATATAATAATGAGCTATTATCATTGTTATTTATAATTTTCGATACTAATTTGAGCCGATCTGAGTTTCTTTCTTATTCTACCATCTTCTAGGCTAGTCTATGTATACACTGTGTCGGCAGTGTCAATTTAAAGTTGGAGGTATGTCCTGGTCTCGACCCTGTAACATCATTATTGGATAGGCTTATCATCATAAGACTTCTACAAATGGATAAATAGTTCGAAGCAAGAAATCATGTTGTCTTTACCCAGTACTGCTCTATACTTTATTCGTGTAGAAAACTTTTAACTTAGGTATGTTAAAGAAGGTGGAGCATCCTACCCTTTGAGTATCCTGTTCTTAGGACCGGTGGGTTGAATATTGTTAGGATCAAGCTTATGAGTATCAATCAAGTATCTGACAGCTGGAGATAAACTTTGCCTGTAAATAATAACTATTAAATTATAACATAAATATTAACAAAAAATATAATTTAACAAATATTCAATTATAAAGTGTGTTATTATTATATTGTATTTTAATGAGAATTGTAATGTTAATAGGCTGTCTAGTAATATTAAAACCAAAATTAATCCCCCAATTGAGAGACAACACTAACATAGGGGGGTCCAGGAAATTTCCTCTAATATAACCTACAGTACTATAATCTACTTTCAAAAAAAAGGGGGAAGGCAGGGCCGCTTCTGAAATTCCACTCCCTAAATCTGCCCATGAAAAGGTAATACAAATCTTGACTACCTTCAATAAATAGGGTTTGTAAGTACTTCTGACATAATATCACAATACACAAAACTGGTAAAATCTTAACTTACCTTTCTTTGCTAAGAGGAGGTTGTGAACTTGACAACACACCTGTCTGAGAAGCATCAACATTTCCACTTGTACGAGTAGCAATAGCAGGTGTTGTCGACACCTGCTCAGGTATGTCCACATCTTTATAGTCCTCTCCTTCACCCACCATATATGCAATTAATGTGTTTATCTTTATATCTGATGTACCTTCACTAACCTTTATGGAGATATAAAGAATAAAATTATTAATGTATTAAAGATGTATTGTCCCCTGAAAGTGACAAAAATCATAAAAAGTAATTTTAAAATTTACTTGCTCATTTTGCAGCATAGAAATACTTAAATTTAAAAAAAATTGTACCGTGATTGTTGTACTTCATAATGATAATAAAACACTTCCAGTGACTGGAAGTGTTTCTATAATTTTTCGCTATAAAATTATGGGTAAACATTTTTTAAATATATTCATTTCTATACAGTATTTAAATTGATAATCTTTATGTTACTTCAAAATGAGCAAATTAATTTCAGCAAAGACTTTTCTGGTATCTTGCATCAGACAATACAACTTAATAATTTAATAATTCATCTGATGTACCTTCACTAAACCTTTATTGGAGAACTTCCTTGTAGTACAGAAATTCCGCACACAGACATGGCAGCTGTTCATTTTCATTTTCTCTACACAATTATGGAACAATTTACTGTACCTTACTCAATAAAAGAAGAAATTATTTATGGCCTAGTTTAGACTAGGTGGATAAACCCGGCTCAACTCACCAGGTTTATCCACGTGCCTGTCTGAACTAGGTGACTTATCTCAAGCCGGGCTGTGTTCCTATAGTAACTAGGCCTGGCGTGCAACCATGCTTAACTTTTCTAAACCAGGGTTTAATCACTGTAAAAAAATGACCAATTAGCTTTTAATTACGTGTTCTGTGAGGGAGTGTACATTTTGAGTACAATGTTTCGAAACTCGTTTCCTGGTTACGGTTCATTAATAGGCAAATGCTCGCACCTGGCTAATCCCGCTAGTCTGGACACCCAGCAAAGTTAAGCCGGGCTTAACCTCGAGCCGGGCTTTACGTAAGCTAGCTTATCTCCAAGTCTGAACGTAGCCTAAGTCTAGTTTGAAAACAGTTCTGTTCAATCCATAATGTCATCAAGTTTAACCCTGAAACCTTTATCGGAATGGTGTCAGGTAGGGGGATAGTTTTACCTCCAATTTAAGTTTGTTAGCTTAGGTAGTTAAGATTAGTTTTAGGTAGTTAAGATGTCCAGGGTATGAATGGGGTAAAAATGCATCCACTTGAATCACCGCTAACTGGCAGCCCCATCTGCGGTCCTAGCGGATTCTGGGGGTGGGAGGGTGAATGGTCACCCAGCAGCAATAAAAAAAAAATAGCTGAACAAAGGCCGGATGAGTTCCTCGGAGCCAACGGCCGAACAATGCTTAGTTTAATGAATAGGATTAGTTACATTAAAGCCCCATTCCTGGCAAAATTTCAGTTGTTATGAAAAATCTTATTTTTATATATGTTATAAAGATTTATAAATATAATACGAAATTGCTAGTTAACTGTATTTAGACATTCCTAAAAAAATGTAAAATAAGACTGAAATTTGATTTTTTTTGTTCCACACAAAAAATAAATGCGGATGAATTATTTATGTTTGATTTTGCGATAGGTCTGCGAAAAAATATAGTAGGCGCTGGAAACATTAAACTATCCAACACTGCTAGGCTAGGCCTAGCCTTAACTCGATTTAGGTTCTGTTATCACACATAAAAATGGCCAACATGATATTTTCCGTTGCTAGTATTGAAAATTGTGAAATATAATATTTCATAGAAATTATTTCAAATCTGTTAAAAAAATTATTCTGACCGAGATTTTGACAATTAAAC